GTCATGTGCTTCCTTGGTCCCTTCCTTCAGGAGCTCAGATAGGTCAGGCATTCTGATATAGTTTTCCTTGTCTGGGGCCACAGGGTTCTTTCTCTCCGACTCATCTACCCCTTCAGAAGTCTCTACTTCTGCTGACATTGCTGCCAAGTGGTTCTTGCTACCCTTCTCTGGTTCGGCCACAGGCCCGCGCCACTAGTTGGTCAGGTACCCTAGTAAGCTCGCCAGTCAGCTACTCCCTCAGCCGCCACTGCTGCACCAGGCTTCATTTTGAGGAAAGGAAATGATGCCAAAGAGACTCACGAACGTAAGAGCAGCTAATTAACATCTTCTGAATTGTACCGTGCACTCAACTTTTACAAATGCTCAAAGACTCAAGACAATTTTTCCACAGAAAATACACCAAACACAAGTTCTCATTTTTAAGTATACTCAATTTTCCCATTAATAATTATTCATCCCAGTTCAAAAACAGTTGTTGCAATTACTTATATAATGATATGTCCTTAAAAGGAAATGGTTTTACTGGCTTATGAAATTAGGAAAGTGATGACTTACTGCATGCAATTTCCTTGCCCTGAGCTGCGCGGGGAAAGGGCCGTCCACGTAGCCATGCTGCACCAGGGCCTTCCTGTCCAGAGTTGTGAGGTCCTCCTTACTTGCTTCCGCACTTTGTGTACTATGCTACACACGAAAGCAATCAATAGGCCATCATACACATATTTACAAAACTTTTTTGACAAAAGAAAAGAATATGTAGCCACTGACTAGCTCAGTGGGCATTTGTACGAGTTAAACAGCACAAGCTCTGATCCTCAGATCCCCTGCCTTCGAGTCCAGTCTTCCTCTTCCTAGCTAAATGACCTCAGCCCACTTACAGATAGAATGAGAGTACCAGTAAACATTTACAATTTGGAAACTAATTCATAACAATATAATGTTGTTTATTCACCCATGTGGCACTCAGTGTGGGACTGTGAGTGGACCAGCTTTGAATTCCACACTGGGAATGGGTGGGGCCCATTTTTAGCTGTCTCTGGTGAGTCATGGAGGCATGGCCATGGGGCCTCAGCTGTCCCTGGCCCCTCACACTGTGACGCTCTGCTACCTGGGCCACCGTGAGCTACACAGCTTTGTTCTGACACAGTCTTTTTTTTCTTTTAAAGAATACAAATTAGTAATAAAAGGGGAACTTTAGAAATGACACAAAATTTCACTAAACAAAGTAATAGGAATTCAACAATGGTTGCTATATTGCATGATGTTATCTTCAAATTAGTTGTTTGGGTTACTAGAAATAAATGTGCAAAATTGGTTTAAAAGAAACCAAAACCAAACAACAACAAAAAGTTGTAAGAAATTAAAAAGAAAAAATAAGAATAAAAAGAGAAAAATTGTAAGCATTAACTATTCCTTTCAAAAGATCAGCAGAAGTCGGCAGTACAATTATCCAAATTATCTTGCATGTGTATATATTTTCCCTTCTTTCTTTTGTCCTTTTCCTCATCCCAGTTTTTCCCAACCATTAAACAATTTTTTCCCTTTCACAGTAGCTACTGTACCTTTCAAGTTCGAGACAATACAATGTCTGCACATATGGGTCCGATTTATTT